CTTAAAAAACACAGGAGGTCACGTGTTCTACAACTTTTCCCCCTGCGGGCTTCACCCGCGCCGCTGAGCAGGTATTTACGGCAGCTACAGGGCAGGGCGCCGGCTTCCAAACCCGCTAGTCCTGAGTGAGGCCTCACACACCACACTGCCATTGCTGACCACGTCCTTCTCAGGGCCGAAGGGCCTAGAAAAGGCAAACTGCTCTCAGCGGGCACTCAGAACTGCTGTCCGACAGCCACTGGGACTTCTCTTCCACCCCACCCCGCCCAGCCCCAGAATCGTAGGACGGAGCAGAAAGCAAGTCAGGAATCAATTAGGAGAAAGCAGTTTCTCCTTCCCGTGCTGCATCAGAATTCACTGATTTTCTGCAAGCCTGCGGAAGATCAGCGAGGACTCTGCCAGATCACAGTCTGGGGAAATACAAACCATATTCTAATCCACGTGTCAGAAAAATCAGCGGAGGCTGGGCAGCTCAGACGCAGGTCCCTCTGAGGCCTTCGTTCCTCAGCTCCCGTTCCCTCTGCCTGACGTCCTGACATCCCGACAGACTTTTGATTTCCTTCTGCCCCACGCTGCTCATTTTTTTTGTTTATTTTGAATTTTTGAATTTTATTTATTTTTTATACAGCAGGTTCTTCTTAGTTATCTATTTACACATATGAGTGGATACATGTCGATCCCAATCTCTCAATTCATCCCACCACCACCACCCCGACCACTTTCCCCCGCTTGGTGTCCATACGTTTGTCCTCTACATCTGTGTCTCTATTTCTACTGCTCTTGTTTTTATAGTTATGTTTTCTCCTGGACTAAAACGCTTAAGAACTTGTTATTCAGTCTTTTTATCTCCAACAGCGCTTTGCACCCTGCAGACAGGTAAACGCTTAATAAGTTGGTTTGGTTCCAACGTATCATCCGACCTGTTATGGGTTGGATTGTGACCCCTGAAATTCATATGTTCAAGCCCTAGGCCCCAGGGCTGCTGAACGTGATCTTATTTGGAAACAAGGTCATTGCCGATGTAATCAGTTGAGGTCATACTGGGGGAGGGAGGCCCTAATCCAATGACTGGTGTCCTTATAAAACGGAAGTTTGGACACAGAAGAGACCCCAGGAGACGCCATGGGAAGACTGGACTTGAGCTGCCCCAAGCCAGGAGCCTCGAGAGGCCTCGGGGAGGCCGGGACAGACCCTCCCCACTCCTGCAGAGGGGCGGCCCTGCCCACACCGCCATCCGGGACTCGTGCCCCCAGGGTGTGAGAGAATGAAGTTCTGTGTTTAAGTGCCTGGTCTGTGGTACTTTGTTACAGCAGCCCTAGGAAGCTAACACACAGCCAACAGCTTAAACCAGTCTGAACACACACGCACACCCAGGGCATCTAGCAGGGCCAGAGGGCAGCACCTGATTTGTGCATTACACAAATACTGATAGATGGAGTGTCTCCTGGGCAGCATTTTATGGGTTACGGTGTGCTCTGTTATCCTGGGCAAAAAGAGAGAGAACCAGGTTCCTTGAGTGTTTCGTGGTGAACCAAGAAACTTCATCTGCTGCAGTTACAAGTAAAATTAAGGCAGCCTTGGGAATTCCCTGGCCGTCCAGTGGCTAGGACTCGGCTCTTTCACTGCCATGGGCCCGGGTTCAGTCCCTGGTCGGGGAACTAAGATCCCGCAAGCCACGTGCTGTGGCCAATAACTGACTGACTGACTAACGAAATAAATAAAGCAGCCTTTCATGACTTCCATTATTTGAATGTGTCTTCCTAGTCTTATGGAAGTTTCAGAGGATGGAACATGACTGCCCCTCGAGTCCACCCCCTCTGACTAAGTAGCCCAGGGATGTTTAAAGTGTTAACTCACGAGCTCTGGGCTCACAAGCCTCCCCGGAGTCTCCAGCCTTCGTGTGTTTCTCATCACAGGAGGATGACGGAAGCAAACAGTGTGGGCAGGTCAGCAAAACATCCTGGCCATTACTAGACAAAATCAAAGCAGCAGAACCTCATATACACGAAGATTCAGGAGACCTTGTAACGCCCATTTTTCTCTCCCCTACGGCAGAGAACATATCAGCACAGTGCTGGCGATAACTAAATGTGTCTCTTTTCACAAGCCCCTCTTGTCCCTGGCTGACCTTCCACCTAAAGAAAAGCAGGCTGCACGAGGGGAACCTCAACAGAACGCTTTTAAAAATGAGCAGAGGGCTTCCCTGGTGGCGCAGTGGTTGGGAGTCCGCCTGCCGATGCGGGGGACACGGGTTCGTGCCCCGGTCCGGGAGGATCCCACGTGCCGCGGAGCGGCTGGGCCCGTGAGCCATGGCCGCTGGGCCTGCGCGTCCGGAGCCTATGCTCCGCAACTGGAGAGGCCGCAGCGTAATGGGGAGAACATGCAATAAACCAAAACATCAGTACAAAATACACATATTGTATACAAAATACATAGGATGTCAGGGGTTGAGAAATGCTGTGGAGAAATTTATGCAGAGGAGGGGGCAACTGGAGAGGCCGCAGCGGTGAGAGGCCCATGTGCCGCAAAAAATAAAAAAATAAAAAAAATAAAAATTAGCAGAACAAAATCTGAACTGAAACGAACTTGCCCTTCGTTCTTCACCCTCTTCGCTGGCCCTAAAACGGAACCAACCAACAGAATGCACGAAACACACTACGACATGTTTTCTTAATAAAAGGCACATGGGAAACCCAAGCCACCTCAACACTTTTCTCCATTCTGCACTATGCTATCCCCGGCTGAATGGTTCGTGTTACATTTTGTGAATTTGCAAAAGTTAAGCTGCAGGCTGCTTACATCTCCTTAATCAGTCTTCTGTGTGTGCACGTAGCAAACGGGTCAAGTTAAGAGCCTTTCAATTCCATGTGAATACTCGGTGTAGTTTCCAAATGTTCCTTTTTAAGGAAAAACGTCCTCAGACTAACGTTCCCACATTCGGTGAAAGCTGTTCGGCGTGTGTGCTTTCTGGCAGACGTTATTCGTTGTGCACGCAAACGTCGGAAAGTTCAGCTAAATAACTCTTCTTGGGAAATGGAAAATGCTCGGGAAATTTCTAAAACCCAGGGTTTCTAGAGGTGGAGAATGGCTAACATTTTACTGCCCAAACCTACCTTCAAACCACAGAGAATCGGTAGCTCTGTCTATAATTTGCTACTTTGACGCTGAACTTTCACTGTGACTGTGTCCCTCTAAACAAACCAGTTGGGGCCCAGGGGGAGTAAAAGGGTAGCTACATTATAAGCAGTTTCAAATGACCACAGTTTTAGAACATGTTGGGTTGTTTCAGTTTGGCTTCTGCAAATTAAACATGCTATTCATTCCTCTCTTTGCTGTTTCCGAGATGAAAGGAATGCTACAGTTTTCTAAGAAAATCTTTCTACATTTCAAAGAAAGTGATTATTGAAGTCTGCCAGTCAATATGAATGCAGTTAATATGCCAAATAACATATGCATTGATAATGACATGTTTTTATCAAACAGCCTCTGAAGTTTCTTAAAGCTTCACTTTTAGAAATGGAAGTCTTTTACATAAGCCTATTTTGGTAAACTTAGCATGCATTTTCAATGCCTTTCAACATCTGTCTTTTATTACCAGAGGTCCTGATATCCAGATGACAGCAAAGTATTCTGAGTGCCTGGAAAGATAGAGCCTGCTCCTTATTCCTGTCTTAAATCATAATTTTATTGTGACATCAGGTTCATTTAGAAGCAACATTTTTATCTCCTGGACAGACAGGCCGCTATTCACTCTAAAATGCAGGTTCTGTTTTCATAAATATGTTCCTAAAACTAGTAGGCGTACACAATTCATATTAAATAAAATCTTTTCTGACCTTTTAAATGTAGTGCCAGAACATGAGCAACTCAAAAGTTTAAACAGTTTAGTTTTTAAAGTCATCTAATTAACATTTTATTATTAGCAAATTGATACTGTGCGTTTCGGGCCAATACACCCCATTTAAAAAATTAAATAGTTTTTCCTAATTATGGTGCACTTTAATTTCTACATTTAACACCATTTAAGTAATTGTTGATCCTAAGATTATGGACTGGCAAAAAAACTGGGATAAGACTGTAGTGTCTTTGAGATACAGGGATCCACCGTTTTAAAAAGCGCTCTCTCCTCTCGCCCCTGCTTTGTCAGCTGGGCTAGAGGAAAGCAAACTTTTTAATCACTCAAGAGTTGCGGTCAAGGTTCACCCTCCAGCCCCGAGGAAACCACAAGTCACGAAGAGGAGAAGCAGGGTCTGTAGGACTAGGGATTCTGTGCAAAATCAGGTACGAACCTGAAACTGAAATCTAGGACTTTAAGCCAGCCTTGAAGTATGCCAGGGCTTTCCAACCCTGTGTCTGCCATCCTTTGGGCTTGGAGACATAAGCATTCTTTCATGGGGAGGGCAGTAAATCATTTCACAACCCAGCCCTCAGCTACTGATACATGCATCCTTTAAAAACGCATAGCAATTGGTCAATTAAACAGAGGGCGAAACTCTCTGTACGATACCACCAACAAAAGCTGTTCAAACAAAGCCTGGGAGGACGCTTTGCACGGCGGTTTTCTGCTCAGGTCACAGAGAGGGGCGACTCCTCCTTCGGGCGGGGCAGAGCGGAGCTCCCCGTCCCTACCGGCCTCCCCGGGGCCGTTCCCCTTGAACGCGGTTCTGACCCCTCCCCAGCCGGCCCCGCACACAATGGCGCCCCGAGCGGGATCCCGCCACCGGGTCCTCGCGCCAACAGCGCGCCCCCCGCGCGGGCCGCGTTCCCGGGTCCGCGCACAAAGGAGGCGCGTGGGCTCCTCCGCGCCCCGCGCTCTCCCGGCCCGCGCGGCCACCAGGTGCCGGCGCCAGCGACCCCGCGCCCGAGCGCCTCCGCGCATCCCGGGCCGCGGCGGGGGCAAGGTGGGGCGCGGGGCCTCCCGCCGCCCGCGGCGCCCGCCGCCGGGCCTCCCAACGCCCCGGGCCTGGCCGCCGCGGGGGCGCGGGCCGGGGGGCACTCACTTTCTCGATGGCCCCGGGCAGCAGGCGCTCCAGCAGCCTGCAGAGGACCACCCCATCCTTCAGAGACGCCTGCAGGAAGCCCTCCGGGTCCGAGATGGTTTTCTTGGGCGACTCCAGCACCCCCAAGGTAATGAGCCACGTAACGGTCTGCTCGGCGGAATTCATAGCGGCGGCGCGCCCGGCCTCCCCGCGCCGCGAGCCCGTCTCGGCGCCGTTCACCTCGGAGCGGCCGCGGCCCGGCCGGCTGCGCCCACCGCCCCCTCCTCCTGCTCGCCCATGGAGAGGCCGGCGACGGCGATTGGCTCGGGCGGCGCCGCGGTCCGGCCGGCTCGCGCTCCCTCGCGTGCGTCCTGGCCGACTGTCAAGTGCCTTTTCATTAGATGCACATGAACCTGCGGCGGCCGCCCGGCGCCGCCCCCGCCGCCGCCTCCCGGCTCCCAGCCGCTGCCGCCGATGACATCACCGAGAGGAGAAGAAAGACGCCGCGCTGGAGCGGCCACGGGCCTCCCGGACCCCGACCCCCGGCCGCCCCGGCACCCGGCGGCCGCACACGCGCCCCCGCGCTCGGGCCCGCCGCCGTGCGCCCTCCGCGCCCCGGCCGGCTGTGCGCGCGCGTCCCCACCTGCGCCGCCGGGTGCCGGGCCCCCGCCCCAAGGGCCCGATGACCTCCAGCAGGCGACAGCCCGCCGGCCGGGAGGGCTCTACGGGCCTCCCAACCCGCGGGCCGCGCGCGCCCTTAACGGATGGCGCCTGGCTGGGCCCAAGCGCAGACCCCTGGGACGCGAGCGCCCGGCCAGGCTCTTCTCGTTGTCCTGTCCCTTCTGCTTCCTTCCTCCCTCCTTGGAAGACTCGGAATCCTTTCCTTGTATTCTTAATTCATGAGTGTTTAAATTATTAAGTGCTTCCCAGAATGCTCTTTTTATTTTTGCCGGTTTTATTTCAAGAGGTAGGGGGTGAGGGGAGCTGCAAACGAGACGCTTGCTTCTCTCGGCTACCTTGCAAGCCAATAATTACAGAACACGGTGATAATTAAGTCTGTAACCAGATGGGTCTAATTCGAGGAGGAATTGATTTTCCTGATACTGCTGCGATCCGTGGGGACGTGGACGCCCCAGAGAGCAGCGTGGCCAGTGTCACGTGTGCCCCCTGCCGGGAGGCCGGTCCACAGCGCGTGTGACCTCCCCGGCCGGGGGCGGGCCGCGGGCCCACTCTCCAGGACCAGAAACCTTGGAGCGGCTCCACTTTAAATTGATGCTGATATTTCAAACACTGTCAGAGGAAGGTCAGGAAACAGCAGAGCCTGAACTGGGTGATGATGGGGAAGGAAGGGCTGTGAGAACAGCCCAGTCCTAACAGGCCGCTTGGCCAGGTCACACGGTGGGCAAGAGATGCGCAGTTGGAGACCCGGCTGCGAACCCACACGAGGGCCAGACCTAAAGAGCTCAGACATCCCGCCAGGCAAAGAAGCAGCTTCTTCAAACCAGGAATGACCCTGACACACGTACATGCTAAGGAAGGGAGAGACTCTCCTTAAAGAAGGACCTTGAAGGTGTACACATGTGTCCATGTGCTCTGCCCTGTACCTGAGTACCTTTCCTGTTTGCTTGCTGTGACTGCCCTGGCACCTTAAAACAGCATTTGCAGTCACCCACAGAGAGCTTACTATGTGCCAGGCACATATATTAATCTCATTAGTGACAAAAGCTAGAAAACGTGAAGATTTCAAAAAACAGAAGCTTAACTCTCCCCTTCCTCTGCTTGCTTTTGCAAACATGAATTGCATTTATTTCCAGCTTCAATTAAGCGGTCAAGTTTTCTTTCCACATGAGACACAAAGAGATTTGAAGAGCAGTATGAATTCTGGATTATAAGGGCCATGTGCTCGGTGGTCACAGCTCCCACTTCCTGAGCTCCCAGGGTCTGCCCAGCACTCGCTCCCTGCTTTGTGTGGCATAATCACGACGACAGCCTTAGGAAGTTTCTCTCATCGTCCCCATTTTACTGGTTGCACATCCCACAAGTGGTGCAGATGGACTCAAGCCTGGGCTCTGCAACTCCAGGACCAACCCGCCTCACCCATTGTCCAGACCGCTTCCCTATACACTGTCTGGGAAACAGGATGATTCACAGCTCCGTCAAGTTTTGTGCCCAAGGACACTTTATTAACAGAAGGGTATTAACCCAAGAGTAGCTGTTCACTGAGACTCCTGTTTACTCTCATTCCTGCTGAATTGGACACGTGATTTAGAATACAGTCATTACAAATCCAGATTCCATTAAATTAGGTCTGGCGCTTATAATCTGGTAAACAAGAGTAAGATTCAACTTGACTCAAGGAAATGGTCCTGCAGAAAGGCAGCTCTAGGGAGTGGCCTTAGGTGGCCAGTGAACGTGGCAGCCAGTCATTGTCAGAAGGGGGACCCAGAGGCCACCTACTATAACTGGTCTTGGACGTCCCTGAACGTTTTAATGCTTTATAGCAACCAGTGGCATTCTTTTACCTTGGATGTACATTTATTTCAAAAAAGCTTATTTGGAACGTATTCTAGAAAGTAACATTGTTCAAAACTAGGCGTTTTGGGGACTTCTCTGGTGGTCCAGTGGTTAAGACTTCACCTTCCAGTGCACGGGTGCGGGTTCGATCCCTGTTCGGGGAGCTAAGATCCCGCATGCCCCGTGGCCAAAAGACCAAAACACAAAACAGAAGCCATATTGTAACAAATTCAATGAAAGACTTTAAGAATGGTCCACATCAAAAAAAAAAAAAAAAAAAATCTTAAAAATAGCAAGGTGTTTTTAAGGGTTTAATTGAGCTGAGTATCCAAGGTGAGCATTTGGTTAAACTTAACATTTTTCCAAGCTCCTATTACAGAGGACACAGTGCTGTGGAGAACTCATTGTTCTGGTGGGCTGGCACCAGTTAAGGTTGTTGTCGGCGGAGGATTCTGGCCTTGCCTCCGGAGGCCCTTTGGCGCACCTAAAGATCACAGAAGGGCTCTCAAGTCAGGCGTGTGTCCTTCGGTTCCCTCATTTCTCACGAGAGAACGTCAGCCTCATGCCCAGCCTGGCCGGCTGTTAATGCCTGATGGCCACACGCAGGCCATTGTTAGGGGTTCACCCACAAATAGCCCCAAACCAGGAACTACCCAAAGCTCAGCTGAACTGTGCTAACTCAGTTGGAGGACGGTGTTACAAAAATGTTAAAATCTACCCCAGCCTGAAGCCAGACGGACAGATGGCTGTTTACCTGGCCCTGTAGAGTCGCTTTTACTGAATTGGACCATCACCTAGATTGAAAAATGCAGCGAGAAACAGTTCTATGAAGCTCACTGTGTCTAATGTAAGTATTACCAAAGGTGCTCAGTTTCTCAAGCAGTGTACTATTTATTTGGCATATATATGGTCAAACGCTAAAAATTAAAGACGCAAAGCAGGAAAAAATATTTTCTGAACATATATCAGGACAGGAATATATCTGAACATATATCAGGACAGGAAGACATTTACAGATATAGTAATCATGACATGTAACGTCAACAAGACGCGTATCCTGGTTTGGGTCCTGGAGCAGATCCTGCGCCACCTTGGGTGAACATAGTTCACTTGGGGAGTGATCCCGGGGAGGACAAGTGAAGAAAAGGAGAAAGTGAACCAAAGGTGTGCAGTGAGCAGCGGGGCTCAGCTCCCCCGGGAGCCTTGAGAAGCAGAGTGGATGCTGTATCGGTCAGGGCTCTCCAAAGAAACAGAACCAGTAGGATGTATATAAAGACATTTATTACGAGGAATCGGCTCAATTACAGAAGCTGGCAAGTTGAATCTGCAGGTGGGCCTGCAGGCTGGAGACGTGCAGGAAGCTGATGTTCCAGCTTGAAGACATCTGTTGGAGAATTTTCCCTTACCTGGAGGAGGACTGGTGTTTTTCTTCTATTCAGGCCTTCAACTGATTGGGTGAGGCCCACCCATATTGGGGATGGCAATCTGCTTTAGTCAGTCTACCAATTCAAATGTTAACCCCACCCAGCTGTGGTGCCAGGGGTGTGTTAACAAGCTGGCTACCGCTGGCGGCGTGTGGGCCCCTCTGGGGCCCTGTATTAGATTCCTGCCGTGACCATAATAAAGCACCACAAACCTGGGGGCTCAAAACAACAGAAATGGATTCGCTCACAGTCTGGAGGCTGGAAGTCTGAGATCAAGGTGTGGGCAGGGTGGGTTCCTTCCCAGCTCCTGGTGGTGGCGGGCCATCCCTGACCTTCCTTCTTGGCTTGTAGATGCGTCCCTCCAATCTCTGCCTCTGTCTTCACATGGCATTCTCTCTTTTTCTGTGTCAGTGTCCAAATTTCCCTCATTTTATAAGGATACCAGTCACCAGATTAGGGCCCATTCTCATCTTAACTTGATTACATCTGCAAAGATCCTATTTCCCAACAAGATCACATCCAGAGGTACTGGGAGTTAGGACTTGATCATATCTTTTGGGAGAGAAAATTCAACCCACAATAGTACCCTTTGAGAAACCAGGACCATGCCTGCCCCAGACATATCCCACCAGAGGAAGGGGAGGCCGAGCTTCCTATCACGTGACATCAAAGCAAGTACAAAATCTCAGAATCTCTCTTTACATGATGCTCGGATCCATGGGAGATTCTGGTGGTGTCATCCCGATCCGTCCATGATGAATCTCCCCGTCACTGTCATTCGTTTCAGTAGCTGTCAATAATTCCCTCCCAGATTCCATATTTCACTTGGATTTGCCATGGCTTGACATCCCTCCGATACTTATCAGCTGGAATTCTGTAAAGAGGCCCTGTTATTATACAGATAGTTCCTACAGGACAGAGAAGATAAATGCTTATTTTCTGCGTTTACCAGTTTTCAGTGTCATGGGTTGGTGCTGTAGCATCCTGCCAAGGAGACCAATGATTTTTTTAAGTTTCATTATGAATTATGGATCTTGAAAAACATACTTGATGCGTTTCAGCTTATTTCCCTCTTCCTGGTTTCCCTTTTTTGTACTTGTTGGGAGATGCTTCTCCGTGAGTCTCTCACATTTCCGAATATCTGAGCAGACGTAGTTATAGCTTTTGTTCTATCTTTTCAAGAGTGTTTTAGACCAAGCACCAAGCCCTTTGAAGATAGAGATATGGTCCCCTCCTGGGCAGAGGACA